AAAATTTTTTAAAGGTTGGCAACCCATAAACCCAAAAAATTTTAAAAATAAATAAATATTTGAAATTTTATTAATAAAAAGGGTACCAACCCTTCCATTAAAATTAATCAGGGGTTTGCCCCCCCAAAAAAATTTTGGTCCTAGCCTCTTTGCCAAAATAAATGCTGGAAATGTCCGTTGATAAGTTTAAAAGAAAAAGAAAATTCTGTTTTGGAGGTAAATTTTCATTATTATTTTTTAAAAGGAAAATTTTTATATTTCCAATACATCCGCCCAATTTAAAAAATTCCTTTTTCCATTGCCAATGATTTCATGTGGAATGTTTTCCCACTCTTAAAAGATCCCATTACAATGGTATTATAACCCAATTTTATATTATCGGTTAATTCGTTTAATTGGAGATTGTCACAACTGATATAATAACTATTATTTATATCCACACTATTGATTTTAAATGATCTTTTATCATTTATAGGAATTGATTCTTTTAAACTACCATTATCATCATTTGGGATAATGTGATTCTTATTGCTTTTACTCCTTTTTTTTCGATTATTTTGTTTGTTTTCTTTTTTATAACCTTTTTTTAAAGTTTTACCCATTTTTGGTATCTGTGTTTATTTATTATATAAATAAAATTAATAAATTTTTTTTTTTTTTAAATATAATATAATTAAAAGTGTGATAGAGAAGGGAAATAAATGATGTTAAAATATTTTTTATTTATAAAACTATTTTTTAATTCAAAAAAATAATATATATATTTATTTTTAATTTTTTTTTTTTTTTTTTTTTTTAAAAAAAAATTATAATTTTTTTTCAAAATTTTTTTTTTTTATTTGAATTTTTTTTCAAATACACACATTTTTTTTTTAAAAAATCGTGCAATGATAGATATACAGCTTTTTTCTTTTTTTTTTTATTAAAACATATGTTTTAAAAAAAAAAAAAAAAAAAAATAAGTGTTATTAAAAAAATGGTAAATACTACACCACTTATTAAGGTTCTTAGGATTTTATTATTCTCAGAAAATAAATAAAAAAATATAAAAAAAAATAAAAATAAAATAAAAATAAAAAAAAAAAAAATAATAATAAATAAATAAAAAATAAATTAATAATAATAAAAAAAAAAAAATTAAAAAAAAATAAATAAAAAATAAAAAAAAAAAAAAATAACAAGAATTGATGAAATTACAAATGTTAATTGTGTATAATGATTAAGTCAATCTGATCGACTTAATCAAAAAAGGGAGGGCTATATGTTCAAAACACAAGTAACTTAAAATAATACCATATTTTTAACATTTTTTAAACCACGTGGTCAAAGCCCTTTAAAAAAAACCCATTTTTTTTTTTTATTTTTGGATATAATGACAATTTTTATATTCGCCTACCCTCAATTTCATTTTCTCATTTTTTTCAAACTTGTGTATTTTAAAACTTAAAGTCAAAAAATTCATTTTTTTTTTATTTTTCTAAAATTTCAAATTTGTTATAAATAGCTATTTTTTTTTATATTTTTTCATTCAACTTTTTCTCTTATAAATAAATACAGATACAAATATTTATTTATATTTTTTTTTTTTAATCTCCCTTATCATTGTTTTTTTTTTATAAATAATTTTATTTTTTTATAATAGCCATACCTTGTTGTTTGTAAGTAAAAAAAAATAAAAAAAAATTAATAAATTATTTGTTTTTATTCAAGTTTTGTTTTTTGTAAAGCAAAGAAAAAAAAAATCTTTTGTTTTATCCTTATCAAATAAATAATATTGAAAAGGTTTTTGTGTGTAATTTTCATATTTTTTTATAATTTTCATTTTAAAATATTCACCAATCAAATTTTCGAATTTATTTTTTTTATTTTTTTTTTATTTTTTTTATTTTTTTTTTTTATTTTTTAATTTTTTTATTTTTTTATTTTTATAAATAAACACAAATATTTTTTTTGTCAATCCAAATTCCCAAAAAATTAAAAAAAATATTTGTCCACAAAATTAAATTTAAAAAATAATTAATAAAATTAAATTTATTTTAATAAAATAATCAATGCATTGTTGTTTTGTTTGATCATCTCAAATCTTTAAAAAAAAAAAATAAAAAAATAAAAAAAATAAAAAAAAATATTTTTGCCCACCTGCATTATTCTTCAATTATAAAAATATATATTTTCTTATAAAATTAAAATTTCTTAAATATTCTTCGAAAAAAAAAAATATCCTTTGTAAAATAATTATTTCCTTTATTTTAAAGAAAAGAATTGATCGAGTCTCAGGTAATTACTGAGTCTCTAAGAATTTCTCCCCACTATCCTAAAAATCTAAAACATCACCATACGCATTTTCACACTACACTTTTTTTTTTTAATATTAACTTTTTTCCAATAAAATTACTAAAACTAAACTATTTATTTTAAAAAAAAAACTATTTAACAGATTACAAATTAATTAATTCAATTCAAAAAAAATGATTATTCCAAATAACAATAATAATAATAGCAATAAATTTTACTACCCAATTCCAATGCAAAAAGAAAATTCAATCAAAAATTGTTTTAAATATGTCGACGATTCAAAATTAAAAGGAGAGTTTGACTGTGACATTTGTTATCAACCAGCATACGAACCAATAATCGAACCAAATTGTAGACGTATATTTTGTAAAGATTGTTTGGCCCAAAGTTTAGAAAAATCCAACAGTCTTTGCCCATATTGTAAAGCTGAAACTGACGTTTCAAAATTAACATTACTTCCAATGTTTGTTACAAACAAATTGGATGAGCTAAAGGTAGTTTGTGCTCTCTGTGATGAAGATGGCTCAAGGGTTATGGATCGTAAAGACTATGAATATCACTTAAAGAACGAATGTAAAGTTAAATGCTCAGGTCCATGCAATCAAGAAATTCTTAGAAAGAACTTGGCTTCACACATTTGCCCAATTGTCGATCCTCGTTGTTCATCCGATAAGCGTTTGCTCTCAAAGTCTGGCAAATGGCTAACCAGTTCACAAATTTGTGTAGGTTTTATGGGATCCGATAATCATCTCAGAAATGAAAGTGCTGAAGTACCACATCAACCACCATTGACTACCGAATTCAACCATGGAGATAAATCTATTTTTGTATTCAATGCTGAAAATGATTTGGATGAAATTTTCCCAGAAACTGAATCCGTCGCTTTTGGTCCAAGTACTGGCAGATCAATGTTTTATTTGGCCTCACACGTTCCATCAAAAGCCACCGAGATCTTCCTCTTGTATGGTTTTGATTCAAAAATCGAAGAAGGTGATATTTCATCAAATATTGAAACCGTTCATGTTTTCAATATCAAGTATCCATTAGTCATTCCATCAACTGTAAAACATGTTCATTTTTACGATGGCTATGCTTTCCCATTTGACCAAAATTCAATTCCAGAGGGTATTGAATCTGCACATTTCCATAATGTTTCTCATCCAGTTACCAAGACATCGTTACCATCAACTATTAAGAAGCTTTCATTCAACAATGGTTATTCTCATCCAATCAGACCAGGCGTTATTAGTAAAATGGTCCAATCCGTTCACATTGGTGATATTAAAGAGCCATTGATTCCAGAGTCTATTCCATTCAAATCCAAGCACGTTAAAAGACAAGTTTTCATTCACAGTGGCTACAAGCATCCATTTAGACAAGGTGTTATTCCATTAGTAGAGTCATTATACATTGGTGAAACTAGAAAACCAATTTTGGAGCATTCTATTCCAAAGGGTATTGAAAATTTACATTTTGGTCAAGATCACGCACACTTTATTCATAGCAACACCATTCCATACGAAAGTATCAAGCAATTATCCATTCCAAATCTTGACTTTATTGATGGATTAGAATTTTCAAAATTAAAATTCCACGAGTCTTCAGAATTACGTTTCAATTCAAACTCTTTAAAGCAAAAGCTTGGCAATATTAAAACTAAAATTGCTTTAAAATCTGCTTTAAATGATCCATTTTTAATTTAAAATAATAATAATATTATTATTAAATTACTCCCTGTACGATTTATTTTCCTCCTGTTCCTTTTATACATTAATCATCATTAACAAAAATACAAAAAAAAAAAATAATAATTTAATATTTATTTATTATATTTTTTTTATAAACGAAAAAAATATAAATAAATAAATATAAAAAAATAATAAAATTTAATTTTAATAAAATAATAACTATAACATAATATTAATATTATTATTATATAAAATAATAAAATATAAAGTTAAAAAAAAATAATAATCAAATATTAATGAATAATTTAGAAAAAAAAAAAAAATAAAAAAAAAAACCTTTGCTTTGTTGGTTAAGGTCCTCTGTAAAAAAAAATATTAAATATTTATATTTCTTTTATTCTAAAAACAAGTTTTTAAATATTATTATAATTTATTTTTTTAAATAGTTTACCTTTTTTTGATATTATTTTACTGCTACATATAACTTTAATATAATCGAATAAATGTGGATTTAAATATATTTTGTTTAAAAAAAATGTGTTGTTTGAAAATATTATGATTGATTCTAATGATTTTGGTATGATGTAATGGGTTTCACCGTCCATTGATTTTATTTCTTCTGGTATAATATTGGGACGGTTTCTTACTATTATAGTTTTAATATTTGGTATGGCTGTGAATGGAAGGTCGAAATTGTAATTTGAGCCGAGTTCTATTAAGACAATGCTTTTGGGTAATACATCTTTTTCGAATGGGTGGTTATATTCACTACCTAAGCTAAGTGAAGTAAGTGTTGGGGGTAATGAACCTTTTTCTAAACGATGATTAAAGCATTGTGAAAGGCAGAGGGTTTTCAGGTTGGGTGGGAGCATACCTGGTTCAAAGGGATGGTTAAAATCGATACCAAAATAAAGTTCCTGTAAATTAATTAGATTTGATAGCACTCCACTATTGAATGGTGAGTTATATTCTAAACCTAAATGTAGAGATTTAATATGTGATGGAATTGTATTTGAGCTACTTGTGATAATTGGATCTTTGTAATTGTTATATTTTAACATTGTTACGCTTTCTGGTATTAAATCAAAGTATTTTCTATTGATTCCGCTTAATATAGTTACACTCTCTGGTATTGAATAAGTGAATATCTTTTGTTCGGCACCTAAATGAAGAGACAAAATTGAGTTTGGTAAGGTGAATGGTACTATAGTTTCCTTTAGGTTCCCAAATGATAATTTGTTAACTGAAGGTGGTATGGCCTTGGTAATGTTTAGATCCAATATATCGCCAATGTTATCCTGAGATCTATAGGTGTCAGTATTAAATTTAAGAATTGTAATGGTTGATGGCAAAGTATTTGGGTGTAGTGTTTGTAACCAATTTCTAGAAAGCTTTAAAATCCTCAAACCATATGGTAGAGCCCCAGACTCAAAAGGTTTGTTGAAAGAACCTATCCAGCAAAAGTCTAAAACTGTTAATGATTTGGGTAATGAACCTGCACCAATGTGTCTATTAAAAGATCTACCAAACTTGAGTGTTTCGATTGAATTTGGGAAATGGGTCAAACTGGTATTGTCATCACTGTCATAATGTGTTTTTAATGGCTGATCCCAATAGAACCCAAGTTCTAATTTCTTTAAATTATTCCCTAGAATTCCTTTGGGTAGAGGTTGATTAAAAGAGTCTCCAAAATGTATATCTGTTAATGTTTCTGGAAGAACATTCTGTCTAATTGGTTTGTTAAATATAGAGCCAAATTTGATTTTTAAAAGATTTTTGGGTAGAACCCCTGGATCGAGTGGATAGTTGAAATCTAAACCAAGGGATAAGAATGTTAAATACCTTGGTAAAGTAAAGCCTTCTGTGTAAAGATACTTATAGTTTTTGCTATGTTGAATTTTATATTCTAATTCATTTTTGGTTGTATTATTTGAAGAAGCCCCATCTTCATCATCATATACTCCCATTCTTTCATCTGTACTATCTTTCAAATTGATTTTATTTCTTAATGTTTGATATTCTTTTAAATTATTATTATTAATACTGTTGCTATTATTATTGTTAATATTACTGATACTATTGCAATTAAAACCATTACTGAAATGACCATAACTAGAAGAGCCCTCTTCTCTTTCATCATTGTCATATACAATGGGTAACAAAGGTTGGTTGAATCTAGATGGCAACACTAAAGATTTTAAAGAGGATGAGAATAGCTTTGTATTTAATGGGGCATCGTATAAGCCATTGAATTTGAACTCTGTAATACTCTCTGGAATGGAACCTGGCTCCAATTTTTCCTTAAACCTAAAGTAATTTAAAGAGACACTCTTGATGTTGATTGGAAGGGTTTTTAAAAGCTCTACCAACTGATCTTTATCTTTGAAATCTAGCATCACATATCTTAGATAGTCTTTAAATTTATAATTTAAATAGGTTTCGATTGAATATATCCTTCGTTGAAAATGAATGTTTATTAATTTGAGATAGCTTAATATTTTTTTTTTTAAATAACAATTCCGCCATATTTTAAAAAATAGAGTATTAATTATACTATTAAAATTATTATCATTATTATTGTTATTATTATTAATAAAACTTTTATCTGATATGGTTTTATTATTGTCAAAGGAACTAGAATTGTTGCCAACTCTTGAATTATTAAATATTTTTGGTACTGTGCTATCCCAACCTATAAATTGACTATTCATTTTATTATATTTATTTATTATTTTTTAAAAATTATTATTATAATTGTTGTTTTATTTTTTTTATCTTTTAAAATAAAAAATGTTTTTTTTTTTTTGTTTTGTTTAAAATTAATTTAAAACAATTGTTAATATCAGTTTAATTCAAACTCAAGAAAAAAAAAAAAAAAAAACATTTAATTAATATTTGTTTGTGCATTGTAAAGTGTTTTTTATTGTGAGTATGTGTGTGTGGGTGGTGTTTATTGTGTGCTGTAATTGATTAACAAAATATATAATAATATTTATTCAAAAAAAGTAAAAGAAAAAAAATTCAAAAATAAATAAATAATTAATTTAGTTTTATGATAATTCAAGAAAAAAATAATTAAATAATTTAAAATAAAATAAAATAAAATTTTTTTAAAAAAAATAAAATAAAAAAAAAAAAAAAAAAAACTATGGATTCATAGTTTTAATAATCTAATATTAATTTATTTTATTTAATTTTCTTAAATACACATTATTTATTTATTATAATCTATTATTATCTTTTTTTTATTTTCAATGATTTTTTAAAAAAAAATAAAAATAAAAATAAATAAAATAAAAAATTAAATTTTTAAGTACTATTATCGATTATTACTCAATTATAGTAATGATTATTATTATATTTTATTATTAAATTTATTTTTATCTATTTGTTGTTTTTTTTACATTGTTGTTATTTATTTTTATTATATTTAAATTTTATTATAATATTATAATTTAAAAATATAATAAAATTTAAAATCACACATCCTGTTATTATAATTGTAAATAAAAAAAAATTGGCGAGAGTGGGTATGTGTGGATATCTTTAAAAAATCTTTTTTTTATTATAAATTGAAACAATTCAAATAGAATTTAAAAATAGGTGGCTCAATGTGTGAGCTTAATATATCGGTTGGTATGTCTAAAATTACTTCCATCCATGTCTAAATATAACACCTATAGTTTAATATGTGTATAAATTCAGAATATTATGTCGTTACAAAAAAAAATTAAAGTATTCAAGATTAACAAGCTTATTTTATTTTTTTTGAGGCAGTGTGTTTAATTTTTTTTTTAAATGGTAATTTTAAATCAAGATTCCTTATCTATTATTATAAAAATTAAAAAAAAAATAATTAAAACGTAAAAAATAATTAAAAAAAAAAATAAAAATAAATTAATTTTTTTAAAAAAAAATAAAAATAAAAAAAAGAAAAATTAATTATTTGTAATTTGAGAAACAAAAAATAAAAAAAAAA